AGCCCCCGAGAGATGTCTGTCCAGGGGAAGGCCCCTCCCCGCCCGTCCCAGGACCACTGCCCACAACCCCGCTTTGGGCCTCAGGGATTTCTAGGTAAACGCCCATTGACCAGAGGCAGCTCCCCGGAGGGGCTGCGGGCACTGGCAGGTGGTAGGTGTGGGAGGAGGGGCCCGCAGCCCGTGGCTCGGGCGGGACAGTCCGGCTCACCCTGCACGTCCACGGCGTATTGCAGCACGGCCTCCCCCGCGGGGCTGCTGGCCACGCAGCTGTACAGGCCTCCGGACGCCTCCCCCAGGCTGTCCAGGCTCAGCAGGCCGCCGCCCGCCTCCAGCCAGGTCCCGTTGCTCTCCGCCAGGGGCAGCCCCTCGTGGTGCCAGGACAGGGTGGGGGGTGGGTAGCCTCTGGCCACGCACTCCAGGCCCAAGGGCCTCCCAGCCACCGCCTTCACCAAGTGCGGCCCTTCGCTGGCGCCCTCGATGGTGGGCGGGACTAGGGGAGAGGCAGGGGCTGCTCAGGGACGGGAGTTCCCCACCAGCCCTGGTTCAGCCCCCCGCTGACCCCACATCATGGGACAAGCCTCCTCCCTCGCCTGCACTGGCCAAAGCCCTGTGCTCAGAAATCAGCTCCTGCGGGAAGCCTGCCCCAGGCCCCTGGCTGGAGCATCCCTCCCTCCTCTGCCCCTGGGTGGCCCCCTCCCGACACGGCTGGCATCTTCTCAGACCCTGCTATCCCTGCGGGCTCATCAGAAGCAGAACAACGGCTTGTTTGTGTGTCTCTGGGAATGGCACACAGTAGGGCTCAGTGTCCACTGCACTCAAAGCCATGGGCTCCCCGGGCTTAAGATTAAAGCCACTGCTCCTACAAGTCCCCCCTCCGGCCTGCAGGAGCAGACGGGACGACTGGGGCAGAACCCAGCCCAGACAGCCCGGCCTGTGATGGCCAAGGGGGCAGCCAAGCCGAGGGCTCCTCCCTTCCTCTTGGGGAAGGCCGCCGTGGTGCTGAGCCCACAGAGGCCTCGCCAGGGGACATGGGGCGACGATGGGACTAGGATGTGCCTCTCAACCTTGTTTGGGTCGTACGTCCCTATGAAAACGCACACACGCATTCCCCAGCCAATTCCCAGGAGGGGCTCAGACCCCAGAGGGAGGGTCCCCAGGCTGCATCTGGCTCACCTCAGAGACCCCACTCAGCCCACTGTCCTTCGGGGTCCCTAGGGCTCCAGCGCCAGTGTCTGCATCTTTGGGGGCCGG